ACAGCAAACTCCTGGTGATCAGCAGCTTCCCCATAAGGTCTCAGAAGTTGGGCTAGTGGGCTCAATCATGTGCACTAACAGACCAAATGGCAGAGTTTAACTGGTAATATGACCTTCCTCTGGGAACACTTGACTGGTAAGAGAAAAATGCCTCAGACGAGCATGCACACAACTTCAGTAAACACACTGCACATGCAGCCCCTCCCAAGTGCTGGCAGGCCACTGAGCATGCAAACAGTCCACCCCAAGGGAAGAATCAAGGGAGAAGAAATGCAAACCTCAGAACCCTTCCAATGTATAAAAACCCAAGTCAAGGGTCAGATGGGGCACTTGGATCTCTCAAGTTGCCCGCTTGGCCCTCTTCCAAGTGTACTTTACTTCCTTTCATTCTTGCTCTAGAATTTTTTAATAAACTCTCACTCTTGCTCTAAAACTTGTCTCAGTCTCTCACTCTGCCTTAAGTCCCTTAGCTGAATTCTTTCCTCCAATGAGGCAAAAATCCAGTTTGCTGCAGATCTGATGATTCAGTGCTGCTAACAGGTACATGTTTTCCACTTCACCCCCCGCTCCCACTGTAGCCCTTTGCAGGACCATCTGTGTGGAAACTTCTATTTTCAATTAATATGAGCCAAATCCTTGTTTCTGGTCCCTACATAAAGGTTAAAATTCAAGTGCCTAAGTCAACTCCACTGAGCATCTGAGTTCATCTATCAGTTCATAGTCTTACTGCCCCAGTTTTCAGATCCTTCTGCATTTTTGTCCTCTGGGGTTTTTCCTGACCTTTGGGTAAACTCAGCTACGCATTTCAAAGGAGAATACCGAGTTGTTTCATCTCTTCCAGCTGTTCTAAAGATTTTGTAGTAGGCAAGGCTTCAGGTTACCTAGTCTGCCACCTTGTAAAAAAAAAAAAAAGAAGTTCCTCATAAAACGGCTAGATGCAAAACTATGCCCAGGATCTGCACCTTCTCCACACAGAACCCTCAACATTTATAAAATGATGAGTTTAGTTACATCTTGGTGACTTAAAGAATAAATGAGGTTACAATAAGAAGCACTTTAGTGGTGTAAGGAACTGAGGTGCAGAAAGAGAGTCAAATTTGGGACAAGTTTTTTCCTCGTGGTGCTACAAATACGGATTGTTCGAGCCTTGATCCTTTTTAGCTCAACCAGCTAACTTACCTCTTTCCCTCTCCATCTGACTGCCTTTCAGCTTGGCTCCCTAGAGATGTCTAAAGCCATAAGAGTTAGTGCATACTTCAGGGAATCCACTGTAATGAGGAAAACAGGAGCCAGGCAACTCTGGGCTAAAAACTCTTGAAGTTCTGGTCTAGATAAACCTAGGGATTTTTTTCTCTATAGTGAGAGATCATGAGACCCCCACCTTAGATTAAATTTATACCCATTCCTAAAATTGGCACACCTGCACATAAAACGCAGACCAGTCTAAGAAAACTCCTTCTTCCCCTTGGAAACCCTACAGTCACTCATCATTCATTCTAGTCCTGAATTCCTCCAGTTTGGAAAGGAATCCTAAAATACATTAACACAGATCTAGCCATCATAGGAAATTCTTGAAACCCTTTTGGAAATAATTCTAGGCCAATATTCCTAGAGAGACTCATAAACAAAGAAACATTGGACTCCCCACAAATTCAGTGTAATGCAAATGAGATTCAGTGTAAAGAATCCTGAATTCCTCTCTAATACCAGGAATCCTCTGATATAAAACCAGTTATTTGTCATGTCTGTGTGCCCACTGTCCTTACTGCACTCTCTGGCTCCATTATTCCCTGTGCTACATGGGATGAAGCAATACCTCAGAAAACCTGGTGTGTTCTAGGACAACCCCAATAGCACAGTTGTATCCAATTGCTCTAAGAACTGATTTTCCTCCAAGTTTATACTCCTATTGCAATGTGCTCACTTGATCAAATGATGTGTGTCATAAAAGTTAATAATACATCTTTTATAAATGGTGATTTAATTTTTATTTTTTATTTTTTATTTTTCTTTTCAGAGGCAGAGTCTTACTGTTTCACCTAGGCTGGAGTGCAGTGACACAATCATAACTCACTGTAACCTGGAAATCCCAAGCTCAAGCAATCCTCCTGCCTTAGCTTTCCAAGGAGCTAGGACTACAGGGCGTGCCATCACCCCCAGCTAAGTTTTTTATTTTCTGTAAGAGACAAAGTCTCTGTTGCCCAGACTGGTCTCAAACTTCTAGCCTTAAGTGATCCTGCTGCCTCAGCCTCCCAAAGCACTGGGATTATAGGCATAAGTCACCATGCTCAGCCTTGATTTATTTTTTCTGCAGAATTAAACCATTTGTCCCTTGCTATGAATTTTTCTAAAATGTGGCACCTTTAATATATCCTCTCAGTAAAAGATGTTTTCCTATGAAGATGAGGCATAATGATGAAGAGTTCAACAGTTACATAAAACTCTGTAAGATTGTATTTAGTCTGAGAATAAAAAAGACCACTTTCAATTTTAGTTAGGCTACACATAAACTGTAGGCTAACTATTCTCTTATTTCCTAAGCATACCTCCTGCTTCTTTCAATTGTCGAATTCTGCTTGAATAACAAAATACAGAGAAAGGCTAATAGACATCTGGTGAATGAGTAACAGGGTCAACCATCAATCAGACCTGTGTTCTTTAAACAATAAAGTGGCAAAACCTCTCTAGTCCTCGGTTTCTTGATCTGCAAAATGGAGATAATAACTCCTATTCCACGGAGTAATTGAGAGATGTAATTGAGATAATTCATGCCTGGTGTAAATGCTCAACAACTATTAGCTCTCATTTTATTTCCAGCTATTGAGTGCTTTATAGAGTACAAGGAATTATTTATTGCATTTAATTTATTTCTTTCAAATCTGTTCCCTTCCTCAAAATAAGCATTTCCAGTTAGCACAGGCCTCATTAGCTCCAGATAAAAAAACAAGCAGAATTAGATCAAAAGTCAGCTTCTTAGCAAAAGATATATTTTATATATTATATAATGTATTATTTCCAGCAATTGCTTTTAAAATGTAGTTTTCACGTAGGTTCCTTCTCCTTCTGCTCTCAGTGCTTTGAGTACAAAAAAACTCACAGAGAAACCTTTGGCTGTGTTACGTAACTCCAACCACTACCCATTCTAGTATTACAGGCACTGCTCCAAGGCTGAGACGTATTCTGATGAGCCATAGGTGAGAGCCTTCAAAATAGACGTGTTACTAAAACTATCATTCTAAGTCCAAGAAATAATTACAAAGTATTTTAATAACTTTCTAGAGCCTGAACATTTTCTCTCAAATCACATTCTTGAATTTATCATTTGTTAGTATAAACTAAAATATGAAACATGTGAATGTATTTTTCCCTTTGCTATTCATCTCCTTTAGTGAGGGAAAAATAATGAAATTCTAAATGAGCTTCCCTCTCAGTACTGAACAATGGTGGCCAAAATCTATATGTAACATCAAAACAGTTCCCTGTTTCCCATGGAACTGGACAACAATCCTGCCTAGCCTACATTTAGAAGAAAAGGATATTACCTAGCTTTCTGATCTATTGGGGAAAACAGATCAAAATCTTTCTCAGTAACTATTTCAACACACAACAAATACCTAAAGTGGTTTATTATTGTCACAAATCTAATTTGAATACTAAGCCAATCTCCTTATATTCTGGCCTCAAAACTTACGGAGAGCAGGCCAGACGCAGTGGCTCATGCCTGTAATCCCAGCACTTTGGGAGGCCAAGGCAGATGGATCACCTGAAGTCAGGAGTTCAAGACCAGCCTGACCAACACAGTGAAATCCCATCTCTACTAAAAAATACAAAAATTAGCCAGGCATGGTTGCAGGCACCTATAATCTCAGCTACTTGGGAGGCTGAGTAGGAGAACTGCTGTAACCCGGGAGGCAGAGGTTGCAGTGAGTGAGCCAAAATCGCATCATTGCACCCCAGCCCTGACCGACAACAGCGAGATTCCGTCAAAAAAAAACAAAAACAAAACAAAACAAACAAAGTTACTGAGAACAAACCAAGAGGAAATTATACTAAAAGATCAATCCTTGTGTTTCATTACATAATGAAAGAAAGAAGTGAAGAAACTTAGAAAAATTATACAACTACTTGTTAGCACATCTTCATGCCTTACTGATTTGATAAGTATATATCACAAGCTAGGAGTTAATACAGGGTGGCCCACTTAATTTTTTTTTTTTTTTTTTTTTTTTTGAGAAGGATTCTTGCTTTGTTGCCAGGCTAGAGTGCCATGGCACAATCTTGGCTCACTGCAACCTCTGCTTCCCGGGTTCAAGCGATTCTCCTGCCTCAGCCTCCCAAGTAGCTGGGACTAGAGGCCCACACCACCACACCTAGCTAATCTTTGTATTTTTAGTAGAGATGGAGTTTCATCATGTTGGCCAGGATGTTCTCGATCTCCTGACCTTGTGATCTGCCCACTTCAGCCTCCCAAAGTGCTAGGATTACAAGCATGAGCCACCGCGCCCAGCTGTGGCCCACTTTTAAAACAACCTATTAATAACAAAAGTCTCTCTCTCACAGGACTGTCAAGAGGGTTAAAGAAAATGCCTCCTGTACCAAACACTTTTATTTAGCCAGGCATTGCAGACCAATGAAATTGCAAACCTGGAAACCTTCATCTTAGCCCCACTCTATGAATCATTTGAATATATGCAAATCAATAAGATTTCCTGAGTCTTATACCCGCTTGTCAGTATAATGAAATTAGTACCTGCCCTCCCACCACCCTATACAAAAGTCCTAAAGGATAAAGAACAAAATCTAAATATTGTAATGCAGTATACGCTTCCTGGAAAAAAAAAACTTTAATGTCTTAGTTAAGAAAAATACACAAAATACTCCTTCTTCTTAGGGCAGAATATTTGTAAAGCAGACAGACTACTATAAGCTAAAAAATTCTTAAATTATTTTGAGTTTCAAACACAACACTCACCACAGTAGAAACGGGAAATATAACCTACCCCATGTTTCCATCCATCAGAAGAATCGTGTTGTATATGTGAGAAAATATGAAGAGAAAGAGAATTGTGCTGAAGAACATTGTCATCCATGACCCATGATCCTCTCGAAACATTTTTAATCGGAGCAACTGACCTGAAATACAAATATTATTAAATATTAATGTACATTGTAACTCAAAATTCATGGATCTTTGCTTTATTTTTATGAATCTCTATTGTCTCATTATATTCTGAAGTCTTTGCCATAGGACTGCCTTATGAGTAAAGCCACAATACAATGTTCTTTTTGCTCTTTTGTAAATAAATGATCATAAATAAAGTCCAAGACGATCCTCATATCACATATCATCCTAGAGTAAATAGTACTAATCCAAGAATCTAGTGTTCAGAGATAGTACATTATGCTAGCATGAAAACAAGATGAACTACAGCCCTACTTAGCTGCTACTTTTTATTTTACAAATATGTTTTTGGTTCACACTGAAACTACTTAAGACAAATGGTAAAGTTGCATGAATCCCATATCATTTCCCTTTGCTTCTAAAGATCCATTCCCAATACTGGCCAGATGATAAAACCAAAGCCAACCTTACTTATCAGGTCTAATTGTTTAAGGTACATGAAAACTTGAAAGAAAAAATTAAGTCTCTGTTATAAAACACGCAGCTTAGCCTCACTCTTAACACCCATGCCCCTGTACAAGTACAAATACAAGTGCATATGAGAGGTGACAGTGTATGTGTTAATGAAGCTTGGTGTGGCTCCTGGCAAAACATAATTTTCACCCTGATGACTAAAATTCCATTTATGAAGACAAATGCTAATGTTAGAGAGAATGTTAAGATGCAAACACCTTAAGGAAGAAACATATATTAAGATGAACACTAAAGTAAAAACTACTAATATAATTCCACCAGAGAAATGTTTTGATTTATGGTAAAGAGAAATGATGGCACTAGTACCCTGAAAGATGAGGAAGGTGAAAAACCTTGGGAGTAAGAAAGATGTGAGCATAGGTCACCCTAGCTTCTCCCCAGATAAACTGTGTCTATTTTACTTACCTCTCTTCCTAAGAATAATAATGGAGATGACGTGCATACAGGAACTACAATTAAAATAGAATAGACCTGAATCTTACAATAAAATTTCTTACTATTCCCTTTTGTAATGATATGCCAGTTATGAAATATATGTATGTATTTCTACCTGGAAATTATCTCTCTAGGAACAAACAGTATCTCTCACATATCTCACTGAGCACAGGAAGAAACACTCTTTTAAGATTTAACTATTGAACTTTTCCTTATATCTCACCTTTATGAAAATAGCACTTTAGATTTCATTTGGAAACCAGGCTAACAGAAACATTATCCTAGCTAAAACTTTAGATGGAGGCTAAAAAAAGGGGGGGAAGAGATTTGATTACATCATGCCATGGATTCTTGGCCTACACAAGAGAAGCAAAGGTTAAAACTGAAAGTCAGGGAGAATGTGACTGTATAACTAAAAGAAGAATGTGGAAAACCTTCTACTAAAACAAATGATACTAGCCCCATAAATTATAAGATCATAGAACCTGCTGATTAATTTAATCAATGATTATGAAAAGCCAGGGATTTTCAAGCCTCCACACAACATACTGACAAGAATATTGTAAAAACATATTAACAACAGAGTGCTTGAGAGTAAAATCACGTGCCACAAATATCTTACACTATAAGGAATATTTTTTTATTCATTGAACAAATATTTAATACGTGCCTATTACATGCCAGACACAGTTGTAAGTGCTGGAGATTCAACTGTAAGCAATGCAGGACAGTGCTTGAAGTCAATTATCATTTGAGTATTTAATGGAATTGTGACCTTACTTTGGACTCATGGACTCTTTGTTCAGGGGTCCCTTTTCTGCAAGTCCTTTCAGCTTTAGACCAAGACCTATTTATTTAATTCAGCAGTTGATAATGAAGCACTTCAAAGACTGGCAATTAGAGTTCCTTTAAGATTTAAATGTGAATTTCTTTCTTAACATACGCCTGTGTCAAAAAAATTCACTAACAAATATACTTTAAAAGTCAGATAATAATGCTGGTGATTTAACAGTGCTTTGCAAATAAAACATTGTGGACTAACTGTACACAGGTGGAAATAATACAAAGTTAGCAAAAAGAGAGATGTGGCAGTACCGTTTATGCTGTCATTGCCAAGCTCATCGTCTACCACTAATTTCAGCCATTAGTGTCATTAGAACAAAATGGTAGGTTAACATGACTTGAAATTCATTCGAAGACAACAAGAAAAGTGCTGCAAAATATTAAGTCCAGAACTAGTATGACCCAAGTGTTGAGTCGCATTGTATTATAAAAATTTCCCATAAACTACTTAAAGGTTAACTCAGTAAGCAATCCTCAAATGTTAAGAAACATATACACACAAGGACTGCCCTCAGCTCACTGTTCTCACAAAGGACTTCTCCCACGCAATGTAATCAGACCAAGAACCTTGGAACTACCTGAGGATGTCAGATGGAAATACATTGTCTCTGCCCTTAAGGGTGACTATATATGTGGTTTGCCTGGGACAGTAGTGGTTTATAATTGTTGTCCTGCATAAGTATTAATAGTAACCCCTTCCTTTCTTAAGTATGCTTGTTTGGAAGATAAATTATGTGCCACTTTTCCTATAGGTCTATAGGTCCCAGAATTCAGAATTTTATGACTTTCTTTTAGAGGAGTTTCAGGAGACAACCAAGTGACAACAATCCTTACAGGCCAATAGAAGTGAAAAACATCACTAAGAGGTATACATTTCTGACATGGTCAAAAATGATTATTTGAATCACAGATATACTAATATTTGTAAATCTGAGTGTGTATTTATTTTATTAATAAGATCCATCTTGCAGTATATAGACTGTCACCTTCAATACAGTCAAAAAATTAGAAAATATAGCTTAGAACAATCAAAAGCATTAACACGGGACACAAACCTGCATATGTGAAGAAGGAGAGGGTGGGAGGGCACAGGAATTGATTATTATGAATGTTGGCTAAAGTCAGATGAAATGGCCTAGAACTTCAGAATGTTTTCCGGAAATACAGTAGGTTTAGGAACACTAAGATGTCATAAAATTCTAACGATGTAAAAGCACATTTAAATGTGTATGTAAGGGGCCGGGTATGGTGGCTCATGCCTGTAATCCCAGGACTTTGGAAGGCCCAGGCGGGAGGATCACCTGAGTTCAGGAGTTCGAGATCAACCTGGCTAACATGGTGAAATCCCATTTCTACTAAAAATACAAAACAAATTAGACAGGCGTGGTGGCGCGTGCCTGTAATTCCAGCTACTTGGGAGGTTGAGGCAGGAGAATCGCTTGAACCTGGGAGTTGGAGGTTGCAGTGAGCCAAGATCACGCCACTGCACTCCAGCGTGGGCCACAAGAGCAAAACTCTGTCTCAAAAAAAACCGAAAACAAACAAACAAAAAAAGTGTATATAAAATGAACCTATGTATGTTGTGGAAAATAGAGGCAGACAATTGTGATAGGGAGAATTATGGAGAAACTACTCGGTTTCTTCGCCTTTTTGCTGCTGTGTTCTCTTCACCAAAAGAATGGAAAGATTTTCCTTTCTACCACACTGCCAGACTTTTTTTATTGAGAGTTCTAGGTCCCTTTTCTTTAGGAGTGATTTTCATATGGAGACCTGTGCAAAGAAATACACTACACAGTCTCAGAGGAGAAGTGTTTGTGTTTCCAGGTAGGAGATGTGGGGAGCTCTACCTCTGGAAGATTGTTAAAGCAGGGTTCAGATAGACCGAGGACTTCTGGGTTCATAAAGAATACAAGGATTTAGGTCTCCAAGGTGGCAGAGCCTCATTTGGGGATGACCACATGGATATTGGTGAAGGCCAAGGTATCAAGGGTCATGATGACACATTTTGGCTCTGTGTCCCCACTCAAATCTCACCTTGAATTGTAATAATTCCCAAGTGTTGTAGGAGGTCCCAGTGAGAGGTAATTGAATCATGGAAGCGAATCTTTCCTGTGCTGTTCTTGTGGTAGTGTGTAAGTCTCATGACAGCTGACGGTTTTATTAATGGGAATTCCTCTACACAAGCTCTCTCTTGCCTGCCACCATGCAAGATGTGACTTTGCTCCTCCTTTGCCTTCTGCCATGATTGTGAGGCCTTCCCAGTCATGTGGAATTGTGAGTCGATTAAATCTCTTTCCTTTATAAATTACCTAGTCTTAGGCAAGTCTTTATTAGCAGCATGAGAACAGACTAATACACATGGCTTTGGAAGTCTGAGTTATCAACCTAAGCTAGTCCCAGGGGAATGGTGCCAGTAGGGCAGCCACCCACCTCTATTACGCACACAATGACTTGAGTAGATCCCAGGCACCTCAGAGTCATTGTGCCCAAGTGGTAGAAAACCATTACTGAAGTAGCAGTAGGAGAAGGGGTAGAGAAGTAAAAACAAGCTGAAGGAGTCTTTTCAGTATGTGTAGCCCTGGAACATCTGCAAAACCTTGGTGATAGAAAAGGTGATTTGAAATATTATTAATATTGGACTCTCTGCTTACCTTGGTAAGCAAAAACTCAGAATAAGATTTAATTTAGACGAAAAAGTATGGCATTACACATAAGACCCTGACTAGGAAATATAAAAGGACAAATGAAGGGATTCATTCAAGAGGACTCCAAACTGAAATTAACACTACTGTCCATTAAGTCTTCTGCTCTAAAACCTATATATGATTTGACCCACACATATATACAAGCAACAAATAGAATCTGCAATTACTTAAAGGAGTATATTTAGTTTGTTGGAGTCAAAAGATATAATAGGCAAAAAATCAGCATAGCAGGCATTCCGCATATCAGTAAGAATATTCCTGTTGCAAATAACAAAAACAAAAACAAAACCGAAACTTCAACTAAAACTAGGTTAAATTATAAGGATTCTTTATTGGCTTCCTTCTCACAATTTCTTTTTTTTTTTTCTAGCCCTGGCTAGAGTGCAATGGCACAGTCTTGGCTCACTGCAACCTCCGCCTCCAGGGCTCAAGTGATTCTCATATCTCAGCCTCTGGAGTAGCTGGGATTACAGGCACATGCCACCACGCCTGGT